GGATAGTGATAAGTATATCCTCCTTCAAACCGAATTCCAGTCAGCGATATGTTTCACCGGAGACTAGCAATCTGCGCAGGACAGGATTACAGCGTACAATTGTATGCGCAAGCACAGCAGCACTCTGTATTCCCTCACACTCATAGTCCGATGGTACGGTAACCCGACACTCCCGGAGAGAGGTTGTAGTGTTATACTACTTACGTATCTTTTTACATTATTTTAAATTCATTTTTCCATTCTGTTTCGATTTTCTGCATTCACCTCAAAACTGGATATTTTACATCACCTTTATTTCCATAGGATCCTGTAACGATTTTAAACCATAAGAACACAATAACAAATCATTTCTACTTCGTATTTTCACATTATCAGCACTTTTAAATTGGTGTCAATGGAGTCTACCTTTTTTCGATCTTTTAGCTAGTTTTCCGTAATTCTACAATCTCGAGCTTTGTGTGGGCAGTTGCGCTACCTTTTTTCCTATATCAATAATATCTCATTTTCCACTTAAATCTTACCGTTTTCTTATTATAAACCAAAAACAAAAATTTGACATATTTTGTCTTTCTTATTTATATCGTTTCCATGGTAATTATATTCAAATTTGCTACCGATCTGTTATTCCTATTTCGATAAATTCCACATAAATCCTCTTTTCTCTTGACCATTTACAATAAATTTGCGTATAATTTAAATAATTTTTCCGTTCTCTCTAGAAAGGTATAAAAGCCGAACAATCGGTGAAGAAAGGCAGTCTCGCTTCAGTTCGCGAATTGGAAGTATCTCCTAAAGGCCTTATCCCGGGGCCGCACTGCCCCGGGATCCTGCAAGCCTCCATTTACACGTGAAGTCTTCGGCGAAGCCTTCTTCAAACTCGGGCCGCGCCACTCCGGAATCCTACAAGCCTCCATCTACCTCGGAAGTCGCTTCGAGTCTACTACAAGCGCGGGGGCCACACTACTCCGGGCACTACTACTACTTACTCCAGGCGCCGAGTGCACCTACCGCCGACGCTACCTTTGGGCGCTGCAACTGCTAGCTCTAAGCGTTGCGCGCCCCTTTTCCAGGCGCTACGTGCGCCGGCTCCGGACGCTGCGTGTACTGGCTCCAGGCGCTGCGCGCCGTCGCTGCTAAGAAACCTACTTCTACAAGCGCAAACGGCGTGTGCTGGCTTCAGGCGCTGCGTGCCGTCGCTGCTAAGAAACCTACTTCTACAAACGCAACGTGTGTCGCTTCGACTTTTAGGCCCCACTTCAACGCTATATTCCCCTATTCTCTCACCTTTATTTTTTTTTATAATCTAATTGTATTCTCACTTCATCCATCATCATCCTCACATCATTTTTTTATAAAATTGTAAATACCTTTTATAAATTTAAATATATTGTTTTCTGGCTCTACTTTTGTTGTTTTGTTGTACTTAGGTTAGGTTCTATTTTTTTTTTAATTGTCGCTTCACGACAAGGTCAGGCACACAACCAACGGCTTTACGTGCTTTCCGAGTAATGAAGGTTAAGTCCGGCCCGCTACTGGGAATAACTGAACAGAAAAACTCAACAACTAATTTTGTTTTGGCCTAACCCGGGATTCGGATCCAGAATCTCATGGTCAGCAATCGCGTTTACAACCACTAGAACAATGGGCCTTGGCCAGTCGTTGTTAATGTCTGTTGGAGTGTGCATGTGTTTGACAGTTAAAGTTATTGAGATAATTAAATTTAGATTAAAGTCACACCTCAGTGCAATTCCTTTAAGAAAATTTCAACAAAGTATTGCGAGTTAAATCTCAGCTACAAGTACGCCGCGGTTCAAGTTTACTGCTGCAATAGAAACTGCGACACAATACACGATAAAGGCTTTTGTTGAGATGTCTGTTCACTTTATTACCGGATTATAGCGAAGTGGTATTCGCACATTTCTGTGATTTTAATTCGTTTCGGGTCTAGATTTATTTTTATGTTTTTTTTTAATGTAGGGGACATTAGGATTTTCACTTTATGTAGAGGCGTTTTGAAAACTTATTCAACATTACCAGACAATGTACACAGGAAACTTTTAATAAGTAGTCTATAGAAATGTTAATTCCATGCGGACATCCAAACTGTGACTCCCAGCGCCTACAGTAGTAATGAATCTAAAAGGATTACGTTCTGCTGAGCTACAAGGAATGCAGATGCGTTGTCAGACCTGAGGACTAAGATGGAGTGCCTTGTATCCAGTAAAAAGGGTCTCCGGTTCTCTACACTGACCATAAGAAACACAGCAACATTAATTTGCTATCAGGTTTTTTATTATTTATTTATTCCTTTTTTAATTTTGTTTAACAAAAAGAAGATACCTTGCGGAGTTTCTTTCATTGTTTCTTCTTTAGACAGAGAAATCTCATTTTAAAACGGTAATGAAATAAAAATAACATATTGACGCTTGATTTCTTTTTTAAATCCTTTAGTATGCTTATCTGATTCCAAAGGAAGGAAGTGTCTTCACCTCCTTGTTTTCGATAATTCTTGCATTCGAACTAAACGTCTCACTTCGTATTTTGTTATTTGTTTATCAAAAGAGGTGAATACTTTACCGGACACTGTCTTTCCTTTTTATTTTAATCTGGATGTCTTTTATGCGAGAGTGGATAACAGCTTATTTACGAATGGGTTTTAAATAAAAACGTTAATCTCATACTGGGGTTTTCTTTTGTATCGTGGAGACAGTTTACAAACATAAATTGTAGAAGGACAAACTTTCAGACCTGGAACAATAAGTTGCAGGCCACGCAAATACTTCTTTCGTGTGGGATTCGAACCCGTGACCCTCGGTGCCGTAACTCATGGCTATGTCACTGCGCCAAGAAGTGTCAATTTCGAGATTATTCTCAAGAACTGGATAATGTAAGAATTTTTCTTGCACCACCAAGAACATGGTGAATCGACACATACGTGAAACTAATATTAACAATTTTTAGTGGTGCTGGCCTGGACCAAACTATGGAACTCACGTACTATGAAAGCCACTGCGCCACCGCGGCACATAAATCGAAATTATTATAAAGTAGTCAGCAGCACGGAAAAGGTTAGATATATGAGGTTCTCTACATGAAGAAAATATGGAAGTAACATTTGGCAAGATAAATCAACTGAGACACGTGTGTCGACAATAAAAGGTGAAAAAGGGCCGATTGTCTATGCGTCTGTCTTTTCCAATAAAACATTAATAATACAATATATGTATGAACAGCTTGTGAGAAGTTGGAATTCCTGTCATGGATGAACTAATTACATAAATAATTAAGTTTTTACGGAACCGTTTTTTTATAAAATAAAGGGTACACAGTTCAACTGATAGTAAGTGGATGTTGTGGCCCATAGACATCTACATCTATCTTCGATTGAGAATCAATATCGATATTATTATATATAGGACTAAGATGGAATGCCTTGCTTCCAGTAAAAAGGTTCTCAGGTTCTCAACAGGTACTTTACGAAACACAACAAGCAGCATTAAACTCCTATTTCACGCTGGTATTCTGTGATATAAACTCAACATTAAATTTTAGTTAAAAATCTTATCGACTCTTCTTTAGTAGACAAACAAACAAAGCGATATTTCGCTGGCTTTCTTCCAACATCTAGCTTGTTTTTACTGTTTAGGTTTCCAATGAACATTTTTATCTCAAAGTCTTGAAAATAAGAGTTTCATTACAACATTGGAATTTGCTTACGAAGCTTCGAACAAAATCACTTTGTTAATTTTGCTTCTTTTTAGCCGGCTTAAAAAGGAAGCTTCTCAATGCGACTGTATGTTCTTTTATGGTTATGTGGCCAAAGGGACCAACCAACGGGACCCTATTACTAAGCCTACGCTGTCCGTTCGTCCGTCCGTCTGCCTGTCAGCAGGCTGTATCTCATGATTAGTTATTACTTACCTATTGGTAGACAGTTGAAATTTTCACAAAATATGTATTTCTGTTGCCGGTATAACAACAAATAATAAAAATAAAAATAAATTTAAAATTAAAAGGGGCTCCCCTACTAGAAACGTGTATTACGATGGTACGGAACCCTTCATGCCGTGTCCGACTGTACTTGGCCGGTAATTTAAAAAAAAAAAAGAAAGAAAAAGAAAGAATTGTTATGCGATAACTTCGTTAATTGTGAACCGATTTTAATCCTTTTTTTTAATAAATAGTTATAGTTCAGTAAGGAGAAAAAAATTGATCCCAAAGTGGGGGAAAATAGGAAATGAAGTTTTCAATAAAACTATTAAGACGGTATTGTAGAACTTAGGTGCTGCAGGATCGTGCTGGAGGTTGAAATGAACTTGCGAAATAATGGTTGTATTCAATTTAATAATAAAAGCGTATTTACAAATGGCTGCGCGCGACAAAATATGGGCGTGCGCATCGACTCACATATCGTGGCAGACTGACGGGGTTCTCACGTCAGAGGCTCCGCGTCTTTTAAAACAAATTTATAACTAAAATAGGTATAGGTATGTACAATCGATACACAGTAAATTTAACAAAACGTCCTCGAGCCAACTTTCACCTCCACTAACCTGATACGGCCATCCTTCCCGGGAAGCACCTCTGTAATGAGTCCCTTTGGCCACGTATTGCGTGGAGAGTTTTGGTCTACAACTAAGACGAGGTCGCCAGCTTGTAGCGGCTTCTGCTCCTGCATTTTCTCCTGAGTATAAGTTCAGGTAAAATCTCGTTCACCCACCTGTGCCAGAACATGTCCGCCAATCGCTGACTTATACGCCAATGCCTGCGGAGATACAAGTCGGAACTGTCAAACGCCCCTATCACAGGCAAGTTTGATGATGTACCTAGAAGAAAATGGTTTGTGGTAAGGGTTTCCACACCATCTGGTGCGACCGAAACGAGCATTAAAGGACGACTGTTAACTATATTTTCAACTTCAATTAGTAGTGTGCATAACACCTCGTCTCTCGGTGCCCGTTCAGTTAAGACAGTTTTAAGCGATGTCTTAACGCTGCGTATCAGCAGCACGCCCCACCCCAACGAGGAATGGCGGGGGGGATGAAAGTCCAATCCATCCCGTTGTTGACACCTACGCTACGTAGGTATTCCTGGTCAAGGTCCTGCATAGTCCGTTGGAGTTCCTTGTCTGCGCCTCTGAAATTGGTACCATTGTCAGAGTACAAGTGACGCGGCCATCCACGCCTCGCTGCCATCCGACGAAGTGCCATGATTAGAGAATGTGTCTTAAGGAAGGCAACGGTCTCAATGTGGATTGCACACAACGTTAAGCACGTGAAAATGACACCGTATCTTTTTTCCCTGCGTCTACCTACTATGACCTCCATAGGTCTAAATATGTCCAAACCGCAATACGTAAAAGGTCGCTGATGATGAGCCACACGACTCCGAGGTAAGTTGCCCATGCGAGGAACTTGCGGCTTACACTTATTATTTCGGCACACCATACTCTGTGACACCACAGTCCTTACGGCAGGTCTGAGTTTTATTAACCAGTATTTTTCCCTTAGTTGATTAACTACTATTTCTTGATTACCATGAGACGCCTTTATGTGGTAGTGTCGAGCAATAAGTCTAGCTACATGGTGTCGCCCGTCCAAGATTATAGGCCTCTTTACCTCCACAGAGACATTTGCAGCTGCATAGATACGAACCGCCCACACGAAGCAAGCCATGCTCATCTAAGAACGGCGAGAGAGCGAGTAGCCGACTATTTTTTGGTAAGGCCTTACTTTTTCGTATTGATACAAAATCCTCCGCAAATGTCTCTGCCTGTGCGTGTCTTAATAGCAGCCGCTCTGCACGCTCCATCATCTCTACAGTGTAATCATTGACAGGTATACCTCGTAATTTGTCAACAAATTTTAAAACGGCGGCTGTTGCACTCAGTAGGCGTAGCCAAGAAGAAAACCGTACCGGATCCGGTACCGGTGAACAATCGGGGATTACCTGAACAACGGCTGTAAGCTCCGCACACACTTCATTGAGGTCCGGCTAGATTAAATCCTTTGGCCCCGCCGCATCATCGAGATATAGGAAAGCTGGACCAGTGAGCCACTCAGAGTACAAATTAGGCTCAAAGGTTTCCCTTGTAGCCAAATCAGCTGCGTTAAGGTTTGAAGGAACATATCTCCATTTTTCGACGTATTAGGTTTTCTTGGTCCCTTTACAATTCAGGGTAAGATCATGCTTCAAGACACCTGGCGTTTAAATATTGAATGGGACGATTATGTTCCTGACAGTATTTACACTAAGTGGAAGAAATGGATGGAAATGGAGGTGCCACGCGATGATTGCATGTTATCAGAACAGGATAGCGTGCGCAAGCGGGATGGAAGTCCCCTCTCCCGTGCCAACAGCTACGCCGCCGCCCGCGCTTCTCGACTCGGCCACTCAGCTCGCATCTACTGCTGCTACGCAGTATTCTACTACGAGCTACGAAACCGCAGCTGTCACTAGCAGTGCTACGAATACAAACACAGGTGAGCCAGGGTATGCAAACCAACATTTACACGTATTTAGCGACGCATCTACAAAGGCAATATTATGTTCGGTAGCATATTGGCGCTGGGAAGCGATGGGCAAAATCCATGTTCAAACCAACGTAGTGATGTCTCAGTAATTGCGAGGGTGAAAACCGCCGGCGATCACCGAATATTGAGGGGCACACTGAGCCTAAACACACATGTGAAACGCTGTATTTAATACAGTCACGGTGTCGTCGGCACTGCGCTGGGCAGCGGGCCGGCCACGTGTTCGACACTTGATGCCGATACTTGCCGATTCGACGCGCCCGTATAATTTCCTTTCTCGGGGGCTTGCTGTTCGATTGGGGGTTCTTTTTGGGTACTTTGGTGGGCCACCCATTCTTCTAGCTCGCTTCGAGCAGGACTGTATCCTTGATATTCTTCCTCGTCGCTGAGTGCTTCCAATTGGGCGTCCAGGTTCCGGTCGATGAGATCCATTTGAATGTTTGCCTTCTGCTGAGCAGCTTCTAGCAGTAACTGCTTTTTCTTCGCTTCTTTAGATTTTTGAGATACTATACTCGTAGACTTTTGAGAACATTTACTGGAGCACGATGTAACTAAGTTTTTTTGGTTTTGCCATGTGCGGTAGCGGTTCTGATTTTATGCTACTACCCGGTACATCGGAAAATAACCGTTGCGGCACTTTGGTGTGCTCCTTAAAAACGATAGTTGCATCTTGAGCATTATCTGCAATTTCCATTTGTTCCAGCAAATCACGTTGTTCCTGCAGCTATTTTGCTCGCCACCCTCTTATACCTGGAGTCCGGAACATTAGATTCGGCTCGAAGTACCACTTTGTAGAACTTAGGTGCTGCAGAATCGTGCTGGAGGTGTATAATGGTTGTACTCAATTAAATAATAAACGCGAATTTACAAATGGCTGCGCGCGACAAAATATGGGCGTGCGCATCGACTCACATATAGTGGCAGACTGACGGGGTTCTCACCGACGAGCACGTCAGAGGCTCCGCGTCCTTTAAAACAAATTTATAACTAAAATAGGTATAGGTAAGTACAATCGATACACAGTAAATTTAATGCCTAACATAATTTTAATTACAAATGAGCGCGTCGCTAACCGGTATTCTAGTTCTTTCTTTGTATAAAGCTGAAGTGACAAACAAAATATTTAAATATAATTGTAACTCTAATTATACTGGCTCTCTGTACTCTTCACACTGGAACACAGCTGTGCTAGCTCTGCTATTTGGTGGCAGAAATAGGTAAGAGGATGGTAACCTAATCACACGGACTCCTTTGTAGAACAGGACCACCTGATAATAATAACACTTATTCCCTAATAATGCGACAATAATCAAGGTTCCACTTCAACGTAATGAAATAAAAGTAATTATTAAATTCGTTATATAGAACATGCACAGACTTTCTCAACTACAAGTGGACTGGCAATAAATGAAATTAATATTAATTAGAGCAGAAACGCATTTCATTTATAAAGGAACGGCCAGAGAATTAAATTGAAATATTCCACTCTATACCATTTTAATGTTTTCAGCCTTTTTTATATTATGTAGATTCACTTTAAAGTTTAGACACAACAAAAATCTGCTGCCTTTTTTGTTCTTACGGTTGTTGAATGCATAAATTGGCTCTACCGGGAAAGGACAACGCTATCACAAAATACCAGTGTAGAACAGCTGCTTAATGCTGCTGTGTATCGTATGGTGAGTGTAGAGAACTGAAGACCCCTATTACTGGAAACGAGGCAATTCATGTTAGAACTTAAAGTTGACAACGCATTTGCATTTTGATTCTTAATTGAGGTTAAATGTAGAGGTCTATGGGTCACAGCATCCAATAACAATCAGGTGGACTGTGTGCTCGTTTGTCACACTTATTATAAAAAAATATTTCGTCGCGTGGGTGTCGTAAGAGTCGACAGAAAGAAACTAAAAACAGGAGATGGTTAGTAGCATCTTTCACAAAACAATTCAAAATAATAAAAAACTGCGGTTGTCCTGCCTGCTAAGCGTCGCAAATATGGCATTAATCCCCCTTGTATGGTAATCTGTGGCGGGATGTTTGTTCACCAGTGGACTTTGATAGAATGTGATGATGGTGTTGGTAATATAATAAAATATTGCTTTTTTAATAAAATATTGCTTTTTTAAATATTTTAGTTTCTCTTAAGTTGGTTGATTTTAAAACAACTTACTCGTATTAGTGTTCCGTACCTCTAAAGGAAAAACTAATCTTTTATAGGATTACTTTGTTGTCTGTCTATACGTCTATTCGTCTATCAAGAACTTCATGATTTCTTATGTTTACGACAACACTACACTACTAGTCTTTACGGATTTTATCGCGTATACTATCGTAATTTATATTCCCGACGTCTCCGTAGAGTTATCAAGTCGTTCATGTCAAATACTAAGGTCTACGGTCCCTTGGTGGTGGAAAAAGAATCATAAGTCAAAGCAATGAGAAAACACGGCCTTTTGCAACTTGCAGACTCAATGATCAAAACCTATAGGTTGTTTTTCGCTGACCTAGAATCATGAAATTTGACAAGAAGCAAGTTTTTATAGCACCTGTGAAGATAAAAATTTGAAAATTCTTAAAATAATTATTTGATTTTTTGTGATCCATAAATATTTTTTGATTATAAAATTGCATTTGCAGTTACGTATTGACCGCGATGAAGATAATTTTTTCAACTTCAAAGTTAAGTTTCAAGCCCAATTAGGGTTTTCAATCCATCAAAACTTTTCCATTCTTTTCTTTTTTCAATTTCTGGTGCATACGTGTATACTTATAATTCCTGGGATAGATGAAGTATTTCCATAAATATCTATTTTTTATGGAAACTTTTTTTTTTATAGAATAGATGTAAAAAACAAGCAAGCAGTCCACTTGATGGGAAGGTTTTGGCACATCATATTCATTTATTCTCGATTAAGAATCAAAAAGCAGATCGTTGTCACCCCTGAGGGCTAAGGGGGAATGTTTCCTTTCCAGTAAAATTGTCTTTGGTTCTCTACACTCACCATGCAAAACACAGTAGAATTGAGCTGTTATTTTACGGTGGTATTCTGTGAGAACGTGGTCCCACTCTGGTCGAGTCGACCCATTGACATATAACCATAACATAGCTGCAGCGTGGCTCTACCACTTATTTAAAATAACAATTTACGTCGGAATATCTCGCACCTGTAGGGTATTTTGTAAAAAGTGAGTTCTTTATATTTATTTATTTCCTTAAACTTATAGAAATACTTTAATAAACTAAGAAATACACTTATCTGGGAACAAATAAGCAAACAACAATGAAGTGATTAGTGTATCGAACAATATTAGCAGCTGCTCGTACCGCAATCAAAGCTCAGCCAACTGCAGGCGCTCGGAGCAACCGCAAGGAGGCGTTACGTTAATTGCACGCCTCTGAGGCATTCCAACAATCGCAATGATTTTATATGTGTATTTTCAACGAAGTACGTTGTTTAGACAGTATATTAGATTAGATAGTCAGCGATATTAGATGTCCTAAAATTAAACTTTAGCTGTTATGATAAATCCTTCCTCTAATGATTCATCTAAAGCAGTGGACTTTTTGCTACTTTGAATATGTTAAGAATTAATTTACTACAATCAGCGCCATTAGCATATCCACGTATTACGTGGATTTTTGTTAATTAATTTTCATCATCTTTAATATAAATCTTCTCTTGTTATATATGGATAGAGCCATGCTGCAGCTATATTACTGCTATAGTTGTAGAACGAATGGGTCGGCTCGACTGAGGAAAGACCAGGCTTGCACAGAATACCAGTGTTAAATATCAGTTTAGCGCTGTATTATGTATTTCGATTGGTGAGTGTAGGGAACCGTAGACCTTTTTTAAAGGAAACAAGGCATT